GCTTAACGACTGAGCCACCCAGGCGCCCCTCGCCTGCCTCTGTTTTATGCATCCCCCCTCCCTGGGGAAGCCCCAAGGCTGCGTCAGGCACCACTTCTGGGCTCTCCTGACTCACTCCCATCCCAGCCCTGGCCCATCTGCCCTGATTGCTCTGGGGAAGCTCCCGGACGTGGGGTCTCACCCTGGTGCCAGCAAGATCTCCCGGCTCCCGCCGGTGCCTGACGCCCACCCCTGTGCCTCCCTGCACGATCCAGGTGCCCCTGGTGATCTTTAAACGGGAGAAGGAGCTGGCCCGAAAGCTGGAGTTTGACGGTCTCTACATCACGGAGCAGCCTGAGGATGATGATGTGAAGGGCCAGTGGGACCGGCTGGTGCTCAACACGCCGTAAGGCCCGGCCCCCCCACCTCGGTGTGGGTGGGGGGGCACAGAGCTGGGGTTCCACTCCAGGCCGGGCCTGGGCTTCAGAAGACCCAGGTTCCAGTCACTGCCAGCCCTGACTCAGTTTCTCCAAGCCTCAGTCTTCCTGTCCGTAATACGGACAAATTTTCCCAAGTGTTAACATACCTGTGGGGCTGCTGGTGACACATGGAGATCCCTGGGGCCCAGACCCTGGAGATTCTGCCTCAGTGAGTCTGGGGTGGGGCCCAGGAATCTGCATTTAAACCCTGCCCCCATATGTGATTCTTACCCAGCTGCCGTGAATAGGCAATAGGAAATCATTGGGTTTTTAAATTGACCCCAGAGAGGGAACGAGGGTGTGGGAGAGCAATGTGGTGGGACTCTGGACCCCCAAATTGCACTCCCAGCCCACTCTGTTCCCAACACCCCCACCCCTGCCGTCAAGTCCCATTTCACATGTTCATACAGTGGGGCCACATCATCTCTAGAATAAGAACACCAGATCAGGTTCAAAGCCTGGCTTGGCCACACCCTAGCTGGGAATTCTCGGTCTGGGCACTTAGCCTCTCTGTGCCTGTTTCCTAATCTGTAAAAAGGAGGGTAAATAATAGCACCAAGGATCTTGTACTGAAGAAATGAGTTCATGTAGTTTCTGGGGCACAGTGAGTCCTAGATAAGTGCTGGAAGTTATTTTATTATGGGGTCCTGCCCAGGAGAGGTGGTGACAGGAAGGGAGAGAAACCACACCAAGGACATCCTATGCTTTCATTGTCACCATCAAAGGCACATCTAACTGCTACACATTCAAACACACGTGCTTAACAGAGAGAGTCAGGGAGAAACATCTGTTTATTCTTTTTTTAAGATTTTATTTATTTATTTGAGAGGTGGGGAAGGGCAGAGGAGGAGGGAGAGGGACAAGCAGACTCCACACACAGTGCAGAGCCTGATGCAGGGCTTGATCCCAGGAACCCGGGATCATGACCTGAACTGAAACCAAGAATCGGACACTTCACCAACTGAGCCACCGAGGTGCCCCGGAAACATCTGTTTAAAGTTGTGTCTAGGGGTGCCTGGGTGGCTCAGTCATTAAGCGTCTGCCTTTGGCTCAGGTCATGATCCCAAGGTCCTGGAATCGGGCCCCAAGTCAGGCTCCCTGCTACGCGGGAAGCCTGCTTCTCCTTCTCCCTCTGCCACACCCCCTGCCTGCTTTGCTCTCTTGCTCTCTGTCAAATAAATACATAAAATCTTAAAAAAATAAATAAAGTTGTGTCTGCCCAAGACCTTAACTTCTAAATACCATGTCCTACAAAAAGGAACCACGCTCCTTGGAGAAGCGGCAGATTTCGGGGCTGGGGCAGGGAAGTGCAGCAAGCCAGGGTTACCTTGTGTCAGGAAGCAAGGATGTGCTCAGTGGGAAGCAGCATCCAGAAGGGGATCCTGGAAGGGGCTCCCGCTGGACAAATCGGGGGCAATTTGAGCCTCAGTAAGGAGAGCAAGTACCACAAATTGAAACACATCAAACAGGTCTGAGCCCGTGGATTCATGATAACTCTCCCCGCCAAACCCAACAGAACTCACTCACCGCCTTGGCAGGATTGTAGGGCATCAGCTTGTGAATCAGAAAACTGGTAACTAATGGGCCAGAATCACCCCATGAGCTTACACGGCACGGAGGGCCATTTTGTGTCTTCTGCACATCCCAGTCCCACATGCAAGCCCGCTGCCTCCCGCGGGCCCCACCAAAGATGGCGCTGGGGTAGTGCTTGACCTGGGGCAAACTCCATCTGGCAGGGGGTCTTTAGAGCCCGGCTCCCGGTGAGATGCAGTCCTACTGTGCGGGGGCCCCCTGTGCGAAAAGCATCGGAACTCCCGCCCACCCTGTCCCGGCTGGTGGCTCCTGGCCCTTCCTGCCCTAACACCTTGGGGTCTCTCTCTTTCTCTCTCTCTCTCTCTCTCTCTCTCGGCAGGTCTTTCCCCAGCAACTACTGGGACAAGTTTGTCAAGCGGAAGGTGAGGACGTGGATGGGGAGGTGGCAGGGCCTCCCGGGCTGGGTCTCTTGCTGCCACCTGGCCATCCCAGCCCTGACAAGCAGTCGCTTTATGTGCGACCTTAGGCAAGGGGCTTTGGCTGCCTGAGGAGCACCTCAGTTTGCCCATCTGGAAATGGGCGCAATAATCACCCGTCCCTCTGTGTTGACGTGATACACGTAACGAGTGTGGCGTAGTGCCAGGCTCAGAGTGAGGACCCAGTAAGTATTAGTTAAGAGGGAGGAGGTGACACATACTGTTTTAAGCACACAGACTCTGGGGCTGGATTGCCTGCTTTTCTACTCCTAGCTGTGTCGGCCTTTCTGTGCCTCAGTTTCCCTCAGATTCGAAGTGAGAGCATAAGAGGGCTGACCCCACGGGGTTGTTGTAAAGATTATATGGCCTACTGCATGAGCGGTATCTGGCACCCAGGAAAACTAGATCAGTCATTCGCTCAACAAACATTTATTGAACACCTGCTGTGTGCTTTAGGGAGCCGGAATCCAGCAGGAAGCCCAACACTCGAGCTGGCAAGACAGATGACGAGCGCATTTATAGGGTTTAGGTGGTGATAAGTGTTGTACAAGAAAAAAAGTGAAGAGGGGAATTGTGTGTGTGTGTGTGTGTGTGTGTGTGTGTGTGTGTTGACCAAGAGTAGGCAGGAAAGGACACACTAGTTAATGAAGTGAAGGGGTGAATCGGGTAGAATCTGGAGGGAGTGTCCTAGGTGGGAGGAAGAGCCGAGGCAAAGGCCTTGAGGCAGGAATGTGTTTGGTATATTTGAGGAACTGCGAGCAGGTCTGTGTGTCTGTGCGGCTGGAGCAGAGTGAAGGAGGTGGGTGAGTGGGAGAAGGTAAGTTCACAGATGACAGAGGCCCAATTATATAGGGTTCCTTGACTACCAGTCTGATAATAATAAATTAACCTTATGAATTTGGCTAATGAATCAACTGAACCTTTTGGGCCCTCCCCCTGAGGATCTGAAGAAAGCTCTGGCCCTTCTCTCCTGAAAAATGCACCCCCAATTTCTCACGCGAAGTTTACAGTGCCCCAGCCGCCCCCCATGCAGCCTGTGGCCCTCCCCCACTCCAGCCGTGTCCCCACGATCACACGCTCCCCTGCGCAGGTCCTGGACAAGCACGGGGACATCTATGGGCGGGAGCGGATCGCCGAGCTGCTGGGCATGGATCTGGCCACGCTGGAGATCACAGCCCACAACGAGCGAAAGCCCGAACCACCACCGGGGCTACTCACCTGGTGAGTTGGGGACCAGCCTGCACAGGCCTGGGGTGGCCAGGGGAGGTGGCCAGGGTCTGAGCGTCAGGCATCTGGCCATCCCTCTTCCTCCCACCCCACACAGGCTCATGTCCATTGACGTCAAGTACCAGATCTGGAAGTTCGGGGTCATCTTCACAGACAATGTGAGGAGGGGCCCATAGTTGGGGGAGGAACTGCGGGAGAAGGGCCTTTGGAGGGCTGGGGTATCCTTGACCCCAGGTATCCCTGACCAGGGCCTGACTCCTGAGCCCCTGTGCACGCCTGGTCCTGTGAAGCCCCCTGCCCCCCAAGGCCCCTTGTCCCTCGGGTGCTCTTGAATTCTCAGACTAGGTCCTTCCGCAGAGGGTTCTCCAACTTCCCCTGGGGATGGCTTCTCACCCAGCATGCTCCGTTACTGCCGAGTGCTCCCGATCCTCCACATGCTCCCTAGGCAGAGATGGCACCCTGACCCCCAGGGCACTCCCATCCCTCTCAAATGTTCCTGGACCCCCTGTTCCCACAGTGCTCCCTACCCCCCAAATGCCCCTTGACCCTCATGAGCGCTCCCTGACCCCCAGAGTGCTCCCCATGAATCCCGCACGCTCCCTGACCCCTGACCCTGTGTGCCCACAGTCTTTCCTATACCTGGGCTGGTACATGGTGATGTCCCTCCTGGGACACTACAACAACTTCTTCTTCGCTGCCCACCTCCTGGACATCGCCATGGGGGTCAAGACGCTGCGCACTATCCTCTCCTCCGTCACCCATAATGGGAAGCAGGTGTGTAGAGGACCTGACTGAGGGGTGTGAGCCTGGCGGGGATGAGCTGGTAGTCTGAGTAGGGGTGGATGGGGGGGGTTGGGCAGCTCCTGCGAGGAGGGGCAAGGCAGGGTGGGCTGAGCCAGGGTGGGTGTGGGTAGTGAGACCCGGGAGGGAGGGCCACGTTGGCTGGGGGCGGGGGGTGAGGACCCAGGAAGCTGGGCCTGGGGAGGGGCAGGCTGAGCATGGAGCTCACGGGGCCCCCCGCGTGCCCCCAGCTGGTGATGACCGTGGGCCTCCTGGCGGTGGTGGTCTACCTGTACACCGTGGTGGCCTTCAACTTCTTCCGCAAGTTCTACAACAAGAGTGAGGATGAGGACGAGCCTGACATGAAGTGCGATGACATGATGACGGTGAGCCCCTCCCCCCGGCGCTCCCAGGGGCCCGTTACTGACCGTCCGACCCTCTGTAAAGGGAGTAGTAGTACCCACCTCGTCAACGCACCGTGAGGGTTCCGTGAGCGGGTACTTGTGAGGGCCTTTGAGGAGTGCCGGTCACATAATCAGTGCTTGGTAAGCGTTCGCCGCCGCCGTCATGTTATTTGAGCTTTTAGAGCTCTTATTATTGGGGTGCTCAGGCGTCGTGCCCCTGTCGTGCACATGAGATTTGGGGTAGTCTACTCGGTCTCCGCGTGCTCTGGTGTCCTCCCCAGGAAAATGGGTGCGTGATAACAGTGCCTACAGCCTAGGGCTGATTTTAGGACTCAGTGGAGCTCCCTCAAAAGTCGTAGAATGGAGCCTGGCGTGTGTTAAGGATTCCATAGGTGTTAGCTACTCTCATCGTGTTCTATAAAAGTTTCACCCAGGGGCGCCTGGCCGGCTCAGTAGGTGGAGTGAGTATGCGATTCTTGATCTCAGGGTTGTAAGTTCGAGCCCCAGGTTGGGTGTAGAGATTACTTAAAATATATATATATG